CCTCATGTGGTGGTCGGTCGCATCGGAAAGGTCATCCAGCGAAAAAACAAAAGATTTTCCTGTTTGTCTGGGTTCGGGATGCTCCTGAATGTGTGGGTTTACTCTGGGTGCTCCAGTTTCTCCCACAGTTCAGGAAAAACAAAACAAAAAAAAATAAGATCGACAACAAAATAATGCGGGCGGAAAAGGTGAAACACGCACACCTGTCTCCACCCTCATGTGGTGGTCGGTCGCGTCAGAAACATCATCCAGCAAAAAAAAAAAAAAAAAAAAAAAAAAAAAAAAAAAAAAAAAAAAAAAACCCCATCCATCCATCCCTGGTGGTCTAGTGGTTAGGACTCGGTGCTCTCAGCGCCGCAGCCCGGGTTCGATTCCCGGTCAGGGAAAACATCTTACAGGTCTCTCTTGTAAATGAGTCCTTATGGCTCAATGAGACTAATGCGTACAAATAAAGGGTGAATGAAAAAAAAAAAAAACATAATAGAAAAGAGGCATCAATTCAATCATATTCGTATTAGGAATACATAAAACAACGTAGTCAACATGCAGGTTTTTGCCCCATCGTTTTGAGCCAAGGAGATCTGGAAATACCCTCCTCCCGTCCATGTTTTGAGCATGATAACTTGAAAAATAGGAGAGGTACAAACTTTCAGTTTTGTGTGTGGTGTAAGAAAGGTTCCCATCAAAGTTGGGTTGCCACATCAAAGTCCAAGATGGCTGCTGCCACATATGCACATAATAAACCTTTTGAGCTGGATAACGTGAAAAATAAGCAACATGCCAACTTCCATTTTGATATGTGGCTGCATCTAGGCATGAGAAAAAGGGTCAATCCAAAAATGGGATGCCATGTCAAAATCTGAAAGCATATTAAAATGAAAGGTATATAAACCCGCCCGCCCTCCTGGCATTTACAATAAAGATTTTAAAATAAACAACTTAAAAATAACAACTTAAAAACAAATACATTTTAGAAATAATGTCACATTTTGTTGAAGTTACAACAAAAATGAAAGAGGAAAGAGGTTTGTGAATGTAGAGGTTACACACCGCTGGATAAAGAGTTGGGCCCTCACCTTAAACGCCGGGTTCGGGATGCGTTTGTAGAAATCTTCACAGGGTGACGTTATGTCCACAGGAATGGCCCATTTCCTTTTTTCCTCTGGGTTTTCGCTCGGCTTCGACTTTTCTTCTTTTCCCGTGTCAGCGGTGGACAACGCAGCATCCTGGAGACAGAGGATTTCAAAACTTCAGTTGGATTTTGGGTCAATAAAAAGCCTTTAATGTCAGAAAGAACAGGAAGTAGCAGAAATGAAGATGTGGTTCTCCTTAGGAGTGACAAGGATGGATAATATTAGGAATGAGATCATCAGAGGTACAGCACAGGTTGAACAAGTGGGAGATAAAGTTAGAGACCAGACTGAGATAGTTTGGACATGTCCAGAGGAGAGACAGTGGGTATACTGGTAGAAGGATGTTAGAAATGCAGCTGCCAGGAAAAAGACAAAAAGGAGATATATGGATGCAGTTAGAGGACATGGAGGTAGTTGGAGTTTGTTTTGAAATGAGGCGGTAAATATTAATCAATATTCTGATACAGTGGATTAAACACACGTCAAAAAAATTGTGGAAATTGGGGCTTAGAGTAAAATCAAAAGTAAAAAAAAAAGGTAAGAAATTAAAAAAAAAACACACCAACCAACGGTGCATAGACCTACAATGCTTAAAAGACTACACAGGCCACTAGTGATGATGTCATCAAGGCAGTGACTTTGGTTAGGACCGGACAGAAAACAGGTTTATTGAGAAAAGAGTAATAAAGTTAGGATGACCGCTCAGTCTTTATCAAAGCTCTGGTTTCTTACTACAGTTCTGATTTAAATACCTTGATGTCTAAATCTTCAAGGCTGTTCGTTCTTGGGAGTTTGACAACTTCCTGACTTTGTTTGCCTTCATCCTTCTCCTCTGCCTCGGGCTGCAGGTCCGAAATCTCCTCCAGCGTGGACAGAAGAGACATGAGGTTCACCTCCGCCCTTGCTATTTTGGCATCTTAAGAAACACAAAAGAAAAAGGTAAATAATTAAGTTTCAAATTAAAAAAGTGTTTGTTTTTTTATTGAAAAATACAAAATCTATATTGTTTTCTAAGCTTTTTTTAAATTGTTTTCTATTGTATGGGTGTACACATGTTTGTTATGTTTTTAATTTTACTTTATTTGTGGGTGTACACAGGTCTTATGTCTTATGTAATGTTCTCATTTTTACTTAATTTTTACTTTATTTTACTTTACTACTATTCGCACCTTATGTCGAAGCAAACTCCTAGTTTGTGAACCTCGTTCATTGACATGGCAATAATAAACTGATTCTGAAAATCTAACCTTTGCTGGTAAAATCCATCCCAGCTTTGAATCCAGGGGGCACCTTCATTATATCTGTGTGACAAAAACAGTGACATGAAGCAACAACAGACTATTTGATACTGTCTTTTTGTTTCCACGACTAATTTATAAATCACCATTGTGAAAGTCGATTTCCTTCTCCAGCTCGGATTTCTTTTTAATCTGCTCCAGAGTCAGTTCCTCCATTCCTCCTGAGAATACACATCACCAAACACAAAGTGGGCAAAGATGATAAAACCAAACCTTTGATCTAAATACAAACTAGAGGATGTTTTAGAACGATGCTTCTCACCGGGGAGGAAGGGGTAATTCGTGTTGCTTCCTCTGAGACTTTCTGACGGAGGACCAGGCTGACGCTGCAGCGACAGCGAGTTTTTCGCTGACAGATCAGTGTTTTCCAACAAAACCTGTTGGTGTTAAAAGAAGAATGGCGATGCATTCAACTTTACTTTGGTTGTTTGTAAAGCACTTTACAACTGTAGAGAAGCAAAGTGCTGCACACGGTAGGAATATTAAAACATAAAATGAAAGACAAAGAATAAAAACAACAAAAATAATAAAATCTAATAAAAAAATCCATCACAGTTGGTTTCTTGTTCAGGGCTAAAGAACCTAAATAAAGAGGGGAGGGCCCAGTAGTGTCTCCAGAAACCATCACCTCAGTTTCGTTCTTGGTAAAGTTCAGAAAATTAAGTGCCATCTGTTTTTAATATTGATGGATGGATTTCAGCATTGAAGCAATATCTTTAGACAAGATGACATTATTTTGATGAGAAGACCAAACGAAACAAGGCAAGATAATTAATAGCTGCAGGGCTGTGAGTAAAAAGCATAAAGTGAAGAAAAGGTGATCTGTTACCTCTGTGAAATCCAACAGCATCCCTGTTGTTGGATCTCTGACCACCGAAAGCCCAGAGTGGAGTGGAGACGGGGTGCAGGAGAGCAGAGAGTCAACATCAACCGTCCTTTGTGACACTCTGATGAAGTCAAAGCAAATGTTGTATCTTCTTTAATACATGATATTGGTATTTTAATAATAGTAATCATACTATTTTGTGTTTGACACAGCTTCTTGTCAAAACTCTCAGGTTTTCCACCAAAGAGAACAACATAAAAATGAGGCGGCTGTATATATATAGTGATCCAAGCGTTTATAATGTCCAGGTTCGATTACTGCAATTCACTTCTGTTTGTAATCAATCAATCCTCCATTGCACGTCTACAATTGGTCCAAAGTGCTGCAGCCCGATTTTTAACTGGTACAGGCCATAGAGAGCACATTACTCCAGTTTTGGCCTCCCTGCACTGGCTACCCATTCACTTTCGGATCCAGTTCAAAATACTCATGTATGTTTTTAAATCACTGAACAGTTCTGCCCCATCCTATCTCACTGATCTTCTTTCTACAGCCATATTTCCCACAGCGTTCTCTGAGGTCAGCAGACCAAATGCTCCTTTCTGTTCTAGAAACCCGTCGCAAGCTCAAAGGTGACAGGGCTTTCTCTGTTGCAGGTCCAAGACTGTGGAATGAGTTGCCACTGCGTGTCAGGCAGGCTCCCACACTCACAGTCTTTAAGTCTCACCTGAAAACCCACATTTATTCCCTTGCCTTTGACACGGTGTGATTTGTTTTGATCATGTCTCTAGTCTACAGTGTTGAACATTTTGTTATTATCCACTGCTATTTGTATCTATATTTTTATTTTATGTTTTCCTGTCCACTGTGCTTGTTTGTTTCTATTGTACAGCACTTTGGTTGGCCTTGATGCTGTTTTAAGTGCTCTATAAATAAATTGGTATGGTATGGTAATAAACAGCATTACATACTTGAGAAACCTCTGAAAGGCGAAGTCTGTGTCATGAATGGGAAGCCAGGCAGGATCTCGTAAAAACTGTTTCTCTACTTCAGTCTCCAGGTTAAGGCTGGTGGGAGGAAGTCCATGAGGAAGCTGCAGAAAGGAAAACTATGGATCAGAAATGCTGAACTCCTCTCATTTATCAGTTCCTGAAATGCACCAAGAAGACAAAGTTTTAAAATGATAGAAGTCAGTGATTTGAGACATCCGACAAGGTACAGGATGCCTTTCACTTAAACAAAATGTGTAATTTACCTAATTTATTTGTTTTAAATGACTGCAATCAACAAAAAAAGTCATACTTTTTTTTTCAGAGGGTGTAAATTATTGGTCACAGCAAGTAAACAAATTAACTAAAGAGATGTTTACAACTAAATTTGGGCTAGGGGATGATTAATGCATGATGAGCCATCAACTTTGAGGAATAAATAAGGTCAAAAGATCCTAAGTGACTGTGGTCAGGTTTCTACAAATGCACACAATCCACCTGCTCTTTACTGACCGTGCTCTGAGGAGGCAAAGGCTGGTCAGGAACTGGGTGTGTGATGAGTTCAAACCTGCCAGAGCATCCCATCTCCAGCAGGGACAGAGGCAGGTCCATGGGACCCACAGGGGGCATATCTACAAACAAAAACAACAAAACAATTTGAATGAACACACACATAAGGGAAACTTGTCCAGAACCATGCAGGCAGTGGGCTGGGAAAACAGGCCCTGACGCTTAAGAGAATTAACTATTTATTTGAATGTATACACATAAAACTCGGTAAATTGCAAACGCAAAATCAGTCATTTACAAATATGATGAGGAAGCTGAAGCAATGAATGGATCACAAAAAGCTGCTCGGATTATCGCCACAAACTACAAGATCGAGAAATATTAATATAAATATATATTTTAATTATTTATAAGCATTTTTGGATATATTTTTTAAACAATTAACAAGACAGAACTTACGTATTCTGTCCATGTTTTTGTAAATCTAAACTCAAAGTTGCCAACATGAAGCTAGGACTGTCGCCCCGGAAGTTGACATCTCAAAGCGGAAGTAGTTTTAAGGTAATTAAAAAAAAATATATATATATCAAAATCGTTTTTTAAAATACACGTTTTTTTATATAAATATAAATGTATTCCGAGATGTAAGTAACTTTATATAGTTTTTCTTAAAACAAATAAAAAAGTTTGGTTGCGTCATATTTATGCGTCGGCGTTGTTGTTGACATTTCAACTGTTTTAAGAAAAACCTGAAAGTAAAAAAAAAAAAAACAGTTTTAGCCGAAGGTATCTGTCACTCAAGGCTAGATTAAACAGTTTAACCTATATTTTAATATAGTTTTTATGTTTTGAATTGATTACTTTTGTATATTTCTTTAAAACATGTTTTATTTTCAGCTTTTAGCTCATGAGCTAATCAGTTAGCGGTGGTTGGTGAATAGCTTGAGAATAAATCTACTATTTTACTTTTTGTTCGCTTTGAAGAAATCTATATTTAATCGGAGCTGTACTCGTCTGTGTTGTAGCCCTTGCTGTCATGGTGATGTTTCCAAATTCACTGACGGAAGAAGAGGAGGCTTTGCAGAAGAAGTATGCCAAACTGAAGAAAAAGGTAGGCGCATTTACCAGGATTATGATCAGGGTTTTTGTGTTAGATGTGTTGATTAAACACAGAACAGTGCAGCAGTATTTATCTGTAGTGGCAGGGCAAGTCTTCAGTAGAAAACTGGTTTAATGACAACCAGCTCTTTATGCTGAGCTTAAATCGGTATCGACATCAACATTATTATTAAAGCAACATCCCATCTGATATGTAGGTCAAGGTCACATCTTGGAAATTTACAGGAACTACAAATAATAAACACACACACATTAATATATCTATGGTAATGATGTTGTGCAGCTAACAAGTCTTCCATTATATCTATACATTAAAGTTGGTTAAGAAATAAACTATTTTTCATCTTTTCAGACACTTCATATTAAAAGTTTGTTTGTCGTTTCAGAAAAAGGCGCTGCTCGCCCTGAAGAAGCAGAGTTCAACCAACCAGACAAACCAGAGTGGTTTGAAACGAAGTACGTCAAGTCAATTTACTTAATAGATTTATGTAAATATGTTTAATAGGGTTCACCAGGCGGGGTTGTCAAATTGAAAATGTTGCTAGATTTAAACTTTTCAGACCCTCTTAGTCATTTATTTGTCTTAGACTAATATGCTAAAAGTGAGCAATATTTACACAAATCAACTTTTGACTAAAATGACTAAAAAATACAAATTTTATGTGATTATTACTCTTTTTAAAAAATAACGCTCGACATGCTTCTGTTTACCTTATTTTTATATTACAGCTCTGTCAGACCAGCCTGTGGTTGATACGGCAACAGCCACAGAACAAGCCAAAATGCTCATTAAGTCTGGTGCCATCAGTGCTATTAAGTCCGAGAACAAGAACTCGGGATTCAAACGTTCTCGAATGCTGGAAATCAAACTGAAGGTGCAACTTTATTAAACATACCAGCTAATTTTTACTGATTTACTCGTGGTCTGGTGTGTTGTTAAACTGTTTTCATACTTTAAGGGTTTGATTTTGTCCTCTTCATCAGGATCCAGAAAAAGGTCCAGCTCCTGCTTTCCTACCCTTCCAGAGGAGTGTGTCTGCAGATGATGACCAACCGGAGGTATAGGAGAGAAAACACGACACAACATTGTCACTTTGTTGCTCTTCTCTTATATTTACAAACTCACATTTCACCCCTTGTTTCAATTAAATAAATGTGTGTAAAATCTTTGTTTTATGTCATTAAAACAACACAAATAATTCACATTTTTTAAAACAACAAATTGAATCAGATTATTCTGAAGCTTTCTTTATGTTTTTTTATTTTCTAGTCTGGAAAGCGAGCCAACAGGAAGTCTCTGTATGAGAGGTAATGTTCTAAACCACAATAAATAACCAAAACAATGAGTTTGATGCGCTGGAAGTTTTCATCTGTGGGTCTAAGATGGTTTTGTCTGTGTGTTTCTTCAGCTTCGTCAGCTCAAGTGACCGATACCGGGATGAGGATGAAGGAGGCAGCGTGCCGTCCAGCCATGACACGGACCGAGACCGAGATTTGGACAGAGAGTGGGACAGAGACAGAGAACGGGAACGGGATTGGGACAAGGATAGAGGCAGGGACAGAGAGAGGGAGAGAGACAGGGACAGAGAAAGAGACCGGAGCAGAGAGAGAGAACGAGAACGGGACAGGGACCGGGACAGAGACAGAGATGGACCTTTCAGACGTGAGTGTTGCTCGTTGTGTTTGACAGCGTTGTCTACGCTAAGCTCATGTCAGCTCCGTCTCTGATGGCCGTCATAAAACCTTCGGCTTTAGAGATTTTATGTCAAAAAATTCAGCATCATAGTTAAAGTTCTCAACAAAGAACCAAATCCTCGGTTCTAGCAGTAGTTTGAGTTTTGAAGGTGCAACTAATGTCTCATCGCAGTTACCTTTTCCTATATTTATCTATAATGTTCTCTCCAGAAACATGCATGTTGGTAACTCTAAATTGTCCCTAGGTGAGAATGAATGGTTGTTGGTCTCTGTGTGATGGATTGGAGACCTGTCCAGGTGTCCCCTGTCTCTCACACAGTGACCCCGTGACCTGGAAAGGAAGAAGTGGGTAAAGATAATGGATGGATGTCTCATGTTATATAAAGTTTAAGTTTTATGTTTGAGCTACTGAAATAAAGTCACCTAAAGTAAAAAAAGAAAAGTTGATTTGTGACCCACGATTAGTCTACAATCACTTCAATATGTCTGAAATAGGAGAATAGACTTTTTTGTTTGAAAAACCTATAATCAAGATGTCCATGCATCCATTTTCTTTACCTGCTTTTTCTTTTCCAGGGTACAGAAAGGCTTAAATTCTTCACACAATCAAACACTGGTGTTCACTAAAAAACATTATGAACCAGTTTACATAAATTATTTCAAAATATCGAACCTACATAAATCCAGTTAGTAAGAACTGGTCAGAATAAGGAAATATCTACAGCTAATATTACTGCAGGAGATTTTCACCACCACTTATTATTCATTTTTTACCACCAGGATCAGACTCGTACCCTGAGCGAAGAGGCGTGAGAAAGGGGAACACGGTGTACGTTTACGGCTCGGGGCTCGCCGAGGACAGCCTGCGCTCCACCTTCTCTCAACACGGAAGCATCATCGACCTCTCGATGGACAACCCTCGCAAGTATGGAACCCTGAAACGGCCACGCTCTTTTCCTCACACTTCCTGATACCGGATACAGTCACACTTTTTGCTGCTTCTGTTTCCAGCTGCGCGTTTATAACGTTTGAGAAGATGGAGTCTGCAGACCAGGCTGTAGCTGAGGTGAGTACTACCCTAACTGTTTTTAAAAACTAGTAGAAAACTTACAAAAGCATAATAATAAATTAATAAAATACACACAAAAAATAGATACCACTCCAAATGCTAGCTCAATACAAGTAAAACTGGATGAATTAGAACAGGTTTTCTTTTTTTTAATCAGTTTTTGATGGCCATCTTGAATTAGCTGTAGCCATTCATCTAGCATTTTCATAAAAATAAGTACAGTGGTTCATGAGATATTTTGCTGACAGTCGGTCACACACACAGCGTTACCACATTTTTCACCCTGTAAGTCACAGTTTTTTGCAGACTTTGCATACCCTGCGACTTATACACTGAAGCAACTTATTTAAACCAATTTTTGGCTGAGATATGACCATTTTCATTCATTCTGACTGAAAATATTGAACACTATCGTTTTTATCCACTAGATATTGGACGTGAAAGTGTGGCATGCCATTGTGTCATGTAACAGGTAGCGATGGGCAGATGAAGCCTCATTGGGTGTATGGCACATTTCCCAAACTGTGTTGAAACTGTGTTGCTGTATCACTTAATGGCGACATCTGCTGGATTAAAAAAGTCATTGCAGGCAAATCCAAAAACGTTCAAGGTAAAACCAACTGGACTTTATTTGTAACAGAAGACGTTTCGCTCCTCATCTGAGGAGCTTTTGAGAGCACACTTTCACAGGACACTGATGATGACAGCGTACATAGAAATGTCATTGCAAGTTTGTATAACATAGAGTAATTTAATATTTGAGTTTTCTAGTATTGTAGTAAATCCTGTGATCTTGGTGTGTTCGCCTCAGAGATATATCTTTGTACCTCGATAAGACAGCACCTGGGAGCAAATCCTACATTTCACCTACAACAGAAATAAAAGTTAATCCATGTAAACTAATTTAAATATCCTTCAGAAAGAAATTAGAATAACTTGAAAGAAAAATGATCAACAATGTAAACGAGAACGGTATAATCATTTACGTTCTTTTCCGTGATAAGATTAAAATGACCCCACACGGGAGAAAAACTTCCTTTTCCTCGGTTGATCCATGGTATTCAATGACGAGACAAAAACCAATGCAAAGCAAAGAACACAATCTACCTCCATCCAACAAAACCCACAAGCGTGTCGACACATTTTCTCCCTTCATGTTCACAACCAAACGATACAGTAACTTAAAGAGATGCACGCACCGACACGGGGCTTCGCCTTGTTTGCTCGGCGCGTGAACCGAGGTTTCAGTGTCGTCAGACCCATCACTAGGAACAGGTAAAAGTGGCTATTAATGACACAATTGGCTTGCCATAGTTTGCCACCTTTGTCCAGCTCGCCTGGAGCAACCGTCAAATCAGCTTCATTTCACTGCGCCGCCTCAGCGAAATGCAGCTGGTTTGACCATTAAAGTGCATTTATTAAGTAAAAGTTAGACTGAGACACTCCTTTACTATAATGTCGAGCAAACAAACAATTGTTTTTCAGTGTTAATCTTGTTAAATTCTTGTTAAAGTCCTCCCGTGCACGCTGCCGCCATTTGGCAGCCAATCGATTTTTGGTGACGCGCGGTGAGCTTTGTGACAGGTGAGGACTGACTGACTTGAATCGGATGCTCCCATATGTGAACCGAAAATAGAAGCTTATATTTCAACAGAAATTGTTTTAAAATAATTAGAAAATGTTTGACACTTCATTGTGCAGAGATGTTCTTCAACTCAATGTTTCTTTCACATTTGTCTTATGGAGCTACTGTCTCGTCACAGACTCACCAAACTGCACTTAAACCATTGGACAGTTTCTACAATCAAGCCTTGAAGGTTTTATACCAAAAGCCAGTCAGATTTCATCTCTGTAATATTTTAGCTACGTTCGGTATTCTAGAATTTTCCAATTTTATAAATTACAATTTTTTTTTTATAATTGATTTTCATATGCTTAAATGGACTTGCACCCAAACCATTAAGCAATTATACAGAACCTGCAGGGATGCAGCAGATAGATCTACCAGTGACTTTAAATGGCGACTGTTCCTTTTCGTAGAACCACTTTTGATCCAAGTTCTCTCTCTATGAGAGGATCCACAATTTGGAACTCACTCCCTGTCAACGTAAAGTATGTAACCAGATTCAGTATGTTTAAAAAACAAACTAAACTCTGGCTGTGTGGGAAAAACAGCATTGCATTCATGCTTATTGCATTTTATTGTTTTAATCCATTTGTTTTATGTGTATGACTCATTGAGTTTAGAAAAATCCTTTAGTTTTGAGGTATGATTTTACATTTTGTCTAAACTAATTTAAATGAGTGTACTGTTTGCCTCACATAACGCATCTGCTTCATTGTAACTATGGGGCAGCACTGCCCCCTATTGGTACAGAAAGGTATATTCTGCCGCACCTCTCGTGTTTTTCAGCGTGCATTATGACCGATTAGAAAGCAGAAATATGTCTCACTTTCATTCAATATATTAGACAGTCTGTAGAACATCAACATGTGTAGCACATGTGTAATCAAACATGTATATTGGCGATGTGAAGAGCAATGGGAATGCTCCACAGCGCCCCCAGAGGTGAACCAGAGCACTGCACATTCTCACCCTGCATTGTTTGAACAGGGAATGCGTAAATTCTGCGATTCTGACCACTGAAGTGTTGAAATAATTCAGAAAACAGTTTTTATAAAACACTTTTATAGAACAGTCAAGTGGGCAAATGTATTTTCTCTTATTATTGCCAGTATTTTAGTAGTCACGATGACAGGTGAGGCCATCCCTCACACGTCACTGGTGGAGCAGCTCGTATGTGAGATTAAGAAGTTGTAAATGGCTGTTGTGTTTAAAATTAGTTTATGTAATTCTTTTCAGTTTACATATCCATTATACGTTTTATTTGTTCAAGGCAGTCATATTTGTTCATAACTTTATTATTAGTGAGCCTGAGAGTTACCGGATTCAAGCAAACAGTTACCAGAACGCACCCTATCAAAATAAGAGTGTTTCCGGATCCTGTTCCGGCAGGATCTGGCTCAAATTAAGTCCTGGTTACATGATTTCTTGGCAGAAGGCGATTTAAAAACCTAATGCTGACTTTTTTCTTTTTTTTTTTTATCAGTGTCAGGCTTTAAGGAAATGTTAGTCAAATGTTGTTGAAATGTTAGTCTGGATTTGTTACAAAAAATAAATAAAAAAATCACAGATCATCCTTTTTCGCTCCCAAGACCAACATAAATGAAATAAAGAATTGAAATGGAGACAGAACTGTGGTTTTTGTTCAGCTGACGTTCATAAGCCTTCCTCTTTCTCTAAGTACAGTATATTAAATTTATTATCCACACGTTCCATCATAGTCAACATTTTATTAATCTGGGAACCAAGTCAAATAAATAAAATCAACTATAGCTGAATATGTGAATGATTGTGGTGGGTTAAATCATTTGAATGTTTATTTTGGCGTGACAAATGCCAAATCTTAATTCTAATTCTAAGGTTTTTCTACACGATTGATTGCAATTAAATGCGCCTTTATTTCACTTGGACTCCCGATTGGAGCAGACGAACCAGAACCGTCTGAACTTGGCGTCACTGTTTTTGTCTCGCAGCTGAACGGCGCCGTGGTGGGAGACGTCCAGATCAGGGTCAGCATCGCCCGGAAGCAGCCCATGTTGGACGCGGCCACCGGCAAATCCGTGTGGGCCTCTCTGGGTAAACGCTGCTCTCTTCTGGTTCTGTCTGGCGCCGGTTGCGCTGCAGAACCGACTCTCACCGCGGTTTGTTTCTTTCACAGCCGTGCAGAACAGCACCAGAGGTTCGTACAGGGACAAGAGGAACCAAGTGGTGTACAGCGAAGACTTCCTGGGCTGAAGTGCTTCAGGTTCTTGCTTTAGTCTGTCGTCTTTGAAACATTTGTTTTGTTGAGCTCAATAAAATTATTTTCATGCATTTTTTCCCTCTTGACTGAGATTTACAAAATGCATAAAACGGCAACTAGATCCAGAATATCTAGTAGAGACGTTTTATAACATCTGTACGCAGACGTCATGTACTTTTTTTTATAAGTAGTAATTGTATCATTTAACTAGAGAAATCGCATGTTCTGCAAAAATGCAGTGTGAATGCTTTTTGCAGAACTTGCTGAAAATAGCTAAAAACATGCTGAAATGTAGCTGAAATGAAGAACAAGTGTAAACAGAAGAAAGCAGAAAGAACACATATTTGCCGAATTAGGTTTAAATAAGCAAAAATGAGCATGCAAATTAGGAAGTTCGTTAAAAAAGCCAATATTAGAAAAAGTAGCTGAAAAGTCAGAAAGAAGCTTAAACTACCAGAATGAGGCATGAAGAGCTGAAATGACTTAAAGGTGGAATTAACAGTAGCTAAAAAAAGCTACAATTAGCATAAAGAAGCTTGAACTAGAATCAAGTAAGTTGAAAAGTGGCAGAAATCACCACAAAAAATTGAATTAATCTGCAAAAGTTTTCTGATGACTCTGCCAGTCGGCCTCATCACAGGTGAGGACGACTCAGAGTACAGACAGCGGACTCAAGACTTTGTGGACTGGTGCCAGCAGAACCACCTCCTGATCAACGCTGCTAAAACTAAGGAGCTGGTGGTGGATTTCCACAGACACAGGTCCACCTCACTGACCCCGGTGAACCTCCAGGGTGTGAACATCGAAGTACCTGGGTGTTCACCTGAACAATAAACTGGACTGGTCTCACAACACTGATGCACTTTACAGGAAGGGTCAGAGCAGACTACCTGCTGAGGAGACTGAGGTCTTTTGGAGTGCAGGGGGTGCTCCTGAAGACCTTCTTTGACTCGGTAGTGGCATCAGACATCTTCCATGGTGTTGTGTGTTGGAGCAGCAGCTTATCAGCTGAGAAGAAGCAGTTAGATAAGATCAAGAAGGCCAGCTCTGTGCTTGGACGCCCCCTCGACCCAGTGCAGGTGGTGGGAGACGGAAGGACTCTAGCTAAAATAACATCATTGCTAGACAACGTCTCCCACCCCATGAAGCTGTTGCTGAACTGGAGAGCTCGTTCAGTGACAGGTTCCTGCTCCTAAATGCACAAAGGAGCGTTACCGCAGGTCCTTCCTCCCAGCAGCTGTTAGACTCTACAACCATCACTGCTCCCAACAAACCCAATAAGGATTAAATACATGCTGACCTCTGCTGAAACACACTCTGCCTGTAATACTGTACTTTAAATAGTCTGCCATTCTCAATGTTCCAATACATATTGAACATTATTATTGATATTGTTGATCGTATTTCTTATACATTGTATTGTTTATTAACATTTAGGAACTTTTGTGTGAAATCTTTTTATCTGTTGCTGCTGTTACACTTGAATTTCCCATCCGTGGGACAATAAAAGCTGTTTCTAAAACAGCTGAATTAAGCAAAAAATGCTAAAAAGGTAGCTGAAAGGGTAGAACGAGCTTAAATTAGCAGAAGAAAGCTGAAAGAACATGTTTTGCCAAATAAGGATGGAAAAAGCAGAAATGAGCACAAAAGTGGAAAATATTTGAAAAAAGTTTCTTATCCACAAAAAAAAAAAAACAAGCTGAAAAGCAGAAAGAAGCAATTACCAGAAGGAAGTGGAGAGCACATTTTTTCTGAATTAGGCTGAAAAAAGTTGAAATGAGTGCGAAAAATATGGAATAACTGAAAAAGCTAAAATTAGCATAAAAACAGCTAAAAATTAGCTGAAATTGCAAAAAAAAGCTGAAACTTGAATGAGCAGAAAGAACTTTGTAATAAATAATACATAAAGCTGATTGGAACACAAAACAGCTGAAATTAGCTGAAAAAAGTTTAAATTTGCAGAAGGAAGCTGAACCAGAACAAAATGTGAAAGGAGCAGTAAAAGGCTGTAAACACATCTAAAGATGTGAAGGATGTAAAATGAGCTCAATTCATTTTCTGAGGAAAAAAGTCAGAAAAGGCTAAATATTTCAAACAGCTAAAGTTGCACCAATATCAAAAGTCATAGCAGGATTGTCCTGAAAGAGCTGAACGTTTTGATGATTGGTTGAAATGGCTTGAAACCCGCTGGACGAAAAACGTACGCAGGAAAAATGGAAGACAGTGTGAACGCTTCACGAGCAGCGATGTAAATAATAACAAGCGGTTGACCTTGTTTATTTCCTCGTCATACCAAACTGATATTCACACATTGACACTTTTTAAAAACGATCAGTTTTGTGCAGCAGGTTGTTCAGCACAGTGAGAAGAGAATCGTTAACAGTTACAACACGTTCAAACAGACGGGACGTTTCTCATTTACACATTTTTCAGGGATTTCTGTTGAGACACCAAACATGTTAAAAAAAAAACATGTGAAACGTTAAAAAAACAAAAACATTTGACGTTTTAAGAAACTCAAAAGATGTTTAAAAAAATATTCTTTAAAAAAAAAAAAAAAAAAAAAAGGATCAAAACTTTTCTGCTTTGGCTTCAGGATTTTCCCGTCAGCGCTCATTTGTTCACAAATTAAGCACTTGGGGAAACATTTAGTCTAAAAAACAACAAAACAAAAACAATATATTATTTATGCTGCAAATTAAGGCATGAATTTTACATGTATGAAGTAACTGTCAGTAAAGTTCAAAGGGTTTAAATTACTGTTTGCACCTCCTTCATGTCAGCGTTGTGACTGAGCAGCTGCAGAGTCCAGATGTTTACACCTCCAGCGGTTTGACCTATGACACCTGCTCAGTAACCAGACAGTCCTGATCTTCCTCCTGCGCTCCTCCAGCAGCTCCTATTGCTCTCTCCCGCTCCTCCTGCTCATGCAGC